CGACTCCCTGGGGGCTTACATCTGCCCCCAAAATATTTCGCTCGCCAAGGGTTATCGACTCCCTGGGGGCTTACATCGACCCCAAAATATTTCGTTCGCCAACGGTTATCGACTCCCTGGGGGCTTACATCTGCTCCCAAAATATTTCGTTCGCCAAGGGTTATCGACTCCCTGGGGGTCACATCGCCCCCAAAATATTTCATTCGTCATAGTAGGAGCCAACGCTCCTCCTCGTGAGGCCCCACTGGGTCCTCAACATGATCAATTTCTACTTACTTCTTGAACGGTTCAGATAACCGAAGAAGACCTTCAGCGTATGATCACGGAAGATTCAACTCGTGCTGCCACTGAATCAGTGGCACCATATATCGCCAAGGTGGGGCATCTCACCCCAGTGGTTCGTGATCGCCTCATCCTAAATAGGGGGCTATCCCATCCTAAAGTTGGGCATCTCCTCTCAAGGGTGGCACATCCACTGACCTTTCAACCCCAAGGGGTTTCACATCCTTTCAAGTGTTTCACGTCCCTACTCAATGGCACAACCGTGCGCATCAACCTCAGACCATAGGTCTCGAGCGCCTCATCCTACAGTGGGCAGTTATCCCCATCCTAAGGTTGGGCATCACCCTTACCTCTCATCCCCAAGGGGGTGCACATCCCATCTCAAGGAACGAGGATAATCTCCCTACTCAAAAAATAAAACATCCCCAAGGGGGTGAATATCAACCAAATAAAAAAGAATAGAAGAAAAAAGAAGATGGAAGAACAGAAGAAGAAACGCGCGTGCACTCCAAGCCGCGCGCGCCCTCCAAGTCTCGAGGCGCGCGCGCCGCTATTAAAAAAAAAAAAAAAAAACGACCAGCGCGTGCAAGGCACGCGCGCGTGGGGGCGCGCGCCTCGGCTGACGCGCGTCAAAAAAAAAAAAAAGAAAAAAAAAGAAATTGGAGCGCGCGTGACTGCCACGCGCTCAAGGGATAGCGCGCGCTGCATCAGAGAAAAAGAAAAAAAAAAAAAAAAAAAAAAAAAAAAAAAGATTATTAAATCAAGTGGGCAGCAGCACGTGACTAGCTGCCACCCCATCACATCATTCAAAATGGGGTCAAACATCAGCTAGCTGCAGCGCGCACGCGCGCCACCCAATACCACATCAATTCACGCGCGCCTTCCTATTCGACATTCATTCGCGCGCGGCCCGTTCTTCACTCATTTTATCGCGCGCAAGTTGCGCTGTGCACCACCGAATCACTTACCGATTTCACCTAGCTTTATCAAATTGAACGAGGTTTTCAACACGCCTCACCAAATCGCGCAAGCTCGCAAACGGATAAATAAAAATTATTATTTCTCCACACCACGCCAACAATTAATGGTACACCACAACACCGATCTACTCTCGACACAATTCGGTACCCCTTTCAACTTGGCTCCCACATCGTCTCGAGAGTGGGAGGCTTGCGAGACAACTTCCACGAGGAGCCAACTCGCTCAGTACTACCATCCGCAGCGAGACAACTCCCACGAGGAGCCAACTCCCTCGGGTCTACGAAACCACAGCGAGATAACTCCCACGAGGAGACCACTCGCTCCGTCCTACAACCCGCAGCGAGACAACTCCCACGAGGAGCCAACTCCCTCGGGTCTACGAAACCATAGCGAGATAACTCCCACGAGGAGACTACTCGCTCTGTCCTATAACCCGTTGCGAGGCAACTCCCACGAGGAGCCAACTCCCTCGGGTCTCATAACCATAGCGAGATAACTCCCACGAGGAGACTACTCGCTCTGTCCTATAACCCGTTGCGAGGCAACTCCCACGAGGAGCCAACTCCCTCGGGTCTCATAACCACAGCGAGATAACTCCCACGAGGAGACCACTCGCTCCGTCCCAAGCCAACTCCCTCGGGTCTCATAACCACAGCAAGACAACTCCTACGAGGAGATAACTTGCTCAGTCATATAACCCGTTGCGAGGCAACTCCCACGAGGAGTCAACTCCCTCGGGTCCACGAACCCATAGCGAGATAACCCCTACGAGGATACCACTCGCGCCATCCTACGACCCGCAACGAGGAAACTCCCACGAGGAGCCAACTCGCTCGGTCCTACGAACCCACAGCGAGATAACTCCTACGAGGAGACCACTCGCTCCATCCTATGACCCGCAACGAGATTACTCCCACGAGGAGCCAACTCGCTCAGTACTACAACCTACAGCGAGATAACTCCCACGAGGAGACAACTCGCTCGGTACCCCAACCCGCAGCGGGACAACTCCCACGAGGAGACAACTCGCTCAGAGCAACCTCAATCCGCACGCTCCTAAATCGCGCATCATCCAATGCTCCTACAACTCACCGCGAGACAACTCCCATGAGGAGACAACTCGCCCGAAATTCACTATATAATCGCAAGCTCAAGTTAGCACGATTACAACCCTAGAAACACTTAGAGATATTATGAGAATCTATATAGCCTGGCCAGCTTGATTACTCAAATTTATCTACTTGTTTTCGATGGATCCTTCATTAAAACGTGGCCACGGTCCAAACATACTTACGACCCACGAGGTCTAACAAGGGGCACGATCCCCATAAA